TTTTAAGTTAATATGAATTCAAAATAATTTCTACATATATTTTTTGACATTTTATTATTTAATTATAAAACAATAAATAGGAAATAATAAAATATAATTTATTAAATTTTTTGAATTTAATTTCTTTATTATATATTTTTTAATCATGATAAAGAATATCTTTAAAAAATAATATTTCTGTGTACAATTATTATCACATTAAAGTTATTAAATGTAAAATACGATATTAAATTCGTAAATATATATACATGCATATATAGAATTTAATCATATTTTGATGTAATATTATATACTATTTTTAAAATTAATTAACTAAAATTTGTCAAGAATATATAAATTGTATCTTAAATATATAAAATACATATAAGAAGTAATTTATATTTTAATTATATATTATTTTAAAATAATTATTATTTAAAACAAAATTTTAGCAATAATGCTAAAAATTTATATTTTTTTTTTTAACAAAGTTTATACTGAATTACTATCTTTATTTAATATATATTTATATAAAAATGTATTATCTATGATACGATATTCGAAAAAAAATATTAACTTAAAAATATTGAATAAAATTACAATGTATCAAATGATACTTACAAAGTCATTTTCTATAGGTGAACATTTTATAACTATGCAGGTATTGCAAAAACTGAAATTAAAAAAATACAATTCAGTTAAAAGAAGAAAAAGAACAATATTTAAAACAATAAAATAAAAAATAAAAAAAAATAATAGGTTTTCAAATTAAGCATACAATAAAATAATTTTTAATATCTAAAAAACATAAATTTATATTTTTTATTATAAAATATTCTTACCTCCATATTTTATATATAATCAAAATCAAAAATAGCATTGCATAATATTATATATGTAATGATTTTTATTAATATATAATTATGTTATATGTAGTAATTATTATTTATAATATTACTATTTGTTATACTTTTAATTAAATATTATAAACAAAGAAATATGATTTTAAAAAATATATAAAGTAATTAGATTTTTAAGTAATCTCACTAAAAGATGAAACTTTATATATAACGTGGAATATAACATAGTCTATGGAAGCTCATAAATAATAAAATTTATAGATTAAATATTAAATATAAAATAGCAATAATCTTATATCATGTAAATTTATATACCTGCTAATTACCACTTCTGACATGAAAATAATATTTAAGAGAAATCTCGATTTCTTAATACTGCTGGAGCTATTAATGACCAAATATACAATCCTAAGCACATCCAAGAAGATATTATTTTCACCCACATTGAAGCAGTATTGGCATTCAATGTATCCAAATTTGAATTTGGTCTATAAAGATAATATAATTTTGTTAATTTTAATTATAATACATTTAGAAGAAAAGTTATATAAATCAAAATGAATAATAAATACTTACTGATACCAATTAGTAAGTGTCATCATAACATATAAAGTGGCAAGAGCAAACATTAGATGAAAGAAACTCCAGTTATAAGCTACAGAATCTTCTTCATTATCCCAAACTTTAGTTTCATTTCCAGTTTCTGAATCAGCAGTGCGACCTTCTACCAGAGTATAATCTAATTATAATTATGAAAAGAAGAAATAACTTAAAAAAAAAAAAATTATCTGTAATTATAAATACCCAATGATCCTACTAGAATTAATAATATAACAAGATTCACAAATTATATTATCATGCATAAAATAAATTCTTATGTATATAAGTAAAATGAAAAATTGATTAAATCAAGTAGCATCACATATGTCAATAAACTAAAAATAATAGAAAAGAAAGTATCTTTATAGCATGAAATTTAGTAAATACTAATAATATTAAAAAAAATGTTTGTGTTAAAAATATCATAATTTTTAAATATAAAAACTGAAAGCAGGCACACGCTATTACTAAGCGCAAATTATATACATTTAATTTATAACTTAAAAATTAATCATATTAAAAAATAAATATTGTACAATTTGACTAAAAATTGAATTAATTGAATTTATATAAGAAATTTATAAAGAATTTATATAAAAATTTATATATATAAATTTATAAAAATATATTATATGCATACAATATGATGCTACTATTTACTTTATAGTTATTTTTAATAATGAAATAGGAAAAATGAAAATATTGAATTTAAAATCTAAAAATTTTAATTTAATAGTGTGTGCCTACCTTCATTGTCGATAAGATTCTGGTCTCCTGCATTCCTGACTGTATGAAGAAAATTCAGTTCATTAAAAATATTTATAAATTATTAATGTTTTAATATATATATTCTATATTCTATATATTATATTATATAATATGGAACATTTTTATTATAAAATTACTGGTGAATTTTAAAACTAAAAAAATTCGTTTTTTATACTTGGAAAATTTTTAAATTTGATTTATTTAAGACAAAACCTTATCGAAAAAATTTTAATTTTTTTTTCATAGAGTAGAATATAAAATCATCTTTTACTCATTTGTACGAGCATTGAGACATACTATGGATTAAAATTCATCAATACAAATAAAGATAGATGTATAGTTCAAAATAAAAAAAAAATTTTTTTAAAAAATGCATTAAAGACTTTCTTTTTGGAAATAATATACTTGAAAATCAATGAAATATGATCAATTATATTTACATACCAGCTCCATTATCCTTAATTAAAATGTTTTCAGACATTGTAATCTTTGATGATTTAGATGCAGTACGTAAAGAACTATACAGTACACAACTAAACCAGATAATTAAGCCAATAATACTTTCTTTGTCAAAAGCAACGCGATTTCGTGAATCAGCATCATTTAAAATTATTTCTAAAAATCCAGGATTGCATTCATGATCTGCAAATAACACAAAAAAAAAATATTATAAAATATTATTATTATTATAAAATATATTTAATAATATTAAATTTTATAATATATTTAAAATCATATATTTAAAATATTACCTGGACTATTTGAAATTCCGCTCCAAGTTAAATAAACTACATATAATGATACAACAGATGATTGAAGAAGACCAGATCGAGGATTATATTCTTGTACATTTGGAAGAGTTGATATAATACTAGCAATCACACACAAAATCAGATTGAAAGATATGAAAAATTTGTTCAAATCACAACTATCGGCCTATATAAAAAAGAATAAAAGTAAATAAAAATGAATTTGAAAATGTTTTTATATAAATTTTATATAAAAACTTACATGTGTAAAATATATAAAAAGTAAAACAATTCCAGTAATAGAAACAATATAATTAAATAATGTTGCTCCTAAAAGTGCAGCATACCTATGACAAATTAATTATATATTTATTTTATTATACAAAATAAATAAATTATAATAACATAATATTATATTACACATACCATCCTTTTGATTCAGTTTCTTCATAATTTCCTACCCAAGCATCTGCCCAGGAATGGGCAAAATCAACAATAAGAATTAATTGAATAATAATAAAAAGAAAACCACCTATCATTCCAAAATACATCCATGTTGTTCCAAATGATTTTTCAGGAATAAAAAAAGCACCAATTATTCCACCAATTATTAAAAGATATTTAATAGCCCAAAATCTAAAAATATAAGTAATTATGAAATTTAGCAGTTAGTGATATATCATATTAATTAACTGTTATCATACCCATTTTGTATAGGAGCTCGAGGATCTCTGGAACTTCTTACTCTTATCATTATGACTGACATTAAGAAAAAATAAAGAGCTATAATAAAACATATTCTATATACTGCTAAGTAACCAACAGCAGATTCACAATCAACAGTGAATTTTGATACCACATAATTTGAGCTATTGCTACAAAATGGAACCTATAAAAAAACCATATATAAATAATAAATCTGTTTTTATATCTATTATATTTCGAAATTTGAAAATATTTACCTTTTTAAGTGCATCTTGTAAACCAGGAGCCAATGTAATGCAAGCAGCAATTGTTCCTAGCATTAATAATAATGCATACATAATACGAGTACTTGTACTGTTACGACATGTTGGGCATTGAGAACAACAGAAACTGCAAGCTGTGCTTCCACAAAGGCAAGCAAGCTGTATCACAAAATATCCAAATCAATACAAATTATATATAAGTATTTATTTTTATATTTTTGTATTTATTTTAAATATTTATTTTCATGATATATTTCTTTTATAAGAAAAATTATACAATATTAAATAATTTGATACTATATTTTATAAATTTTTATTCAAATTAAATAATTATTCAAATTTTATATTAAAAATATTATATAATATTTTTATATATTAATTATATATATAATTATTTAATATAATATTAAATATTATATTAAAAGTTATTATTTAACTATAAAAATAAACTATTGAATTATTAAATTATTAAACCCTAATTAAAAAACATTTTAAAATAAATAATATTTATAAATATTGATTTATACAAGTACAAAACAAATATAGTTACAGAAATATAGTTTTGTTATTGATTTCCGAAAAGTCAATATAATCTATAATCGAATGACATAAGATTATAATTAAGTTTCGATGATTCATCTATTTTTTCTTGGATAATTTAATAAGAAAAAAAATTTTTTAATTAAAAAATAGATTAAATCAACTTAAATTACATTAAACAATTACACAATTAATAAAATAATTAATAAATTAAAGAGAAAATAAGTATAAAGAAAAAAAAAACGAAATATGATTATTTACAAATTAATTTACCTGTGCTGTGGAACAAATAAGACCCATTAGCACGTTTTCTTTCTTCTTAATATATTAAATACATTCACACGTATAATTTTTCTTAATATCAAATACACGATAATATAAACTAGACAGACAGACAAAGAATACTGTACTTCACAACAAAATTTTCACAATAACAATGGCGTCCTGACAGATGACCATAGTCAACTTCATACTATCAGCTGACTAAACGTCATATCCCTTTACCATAGAATAAATCCGGATATGTTTAAAATATTATTTAAGAAATATTATTATTAGTTAAAATATATTTTCAAACAATATGTTATTTTATTTAATATTTGAAATAATTTAAAATATTTTTATAACAATTGTGATTATTTTTTTTCTAATTTTGAAACAGAAATTATTTATCAATTACCATTATTTCAAATAAATCAATATTTTCTATATTTTTAAATAATTTATATAAATTATTGTTTTGTTTTATAAATATAGTATATTATGTAATTTCTTTTTTAATTTAATTTTTCATTTTTTATTTTAATTATTTAATATTAAATTTTGAATAAAATCATAAATATATAAATACATTTTACAAAATAATAAAAAAAAAATTTTTTTGGCACATTCACAATGCTATAAAGAGTGTTAAGTTAGCTGCTAATAAATCGTGCTTATATATATATATATAAGTTGAATCATTTCAGGAGATATTTCCATAAAATAATTGATTGATCCTTGGAATCATTTATTTCTCTTCAAGCTAAATTGAGAAGTATTATTGCGTTTAATTGTATTGATTTAAACAATGGCTTCATAAATTATACAAAAGTATACGGCTATAAGTGTAAGCAAATTATATAAAACTATCAATTTTTAACGAAACTAATAACGCTTGCACATAATTTTAAATTTGCACAATTTTTCATCTGCATTTATATTTAATTTTAAATTATATATAATAATATGTATAATTAAATTTGTATTTAAAAACATCTATTTTATAAAATAAAATTAATTTTATATATCAATTGTATTACGTATATCATTTGTAATGTTATGTATGCTTTCGTATTACTTTAATATATTTTTAACATTTATTATATTTGTTTTTAATTACTTTAACTATTAATAAAAGTTTAATAAAAACAACATAACAGAGCGATTACATATAAGTGATATTATATGTTACTGACGATTCATTTTTTGTCGAAAATGCAAAGCTGAATTGATAAATTTGCTTTTATATAATTATGAATAAATAAATAATAATTCATAATTATTGTTTAATAATTTAATTTTTACAATTTCAAAGATATACTTATGTTTTTTATTTTGTATATTTTAATAAAAAATACAATGTCAATGAGTGTAGATTTGTATATATATGTAATTAATTTTATCAATGTTAAAAATTTTATCAATGTTAAAAAATCTTAATCATAGAATCATTTTGTAACTACTTAATATCAGTGATAATCAATAAAAAAATATGAAATTTTGATATTGATCATAATCTATAACAACTTAGTAGTTTTTTAAGTATTAAGATTATTATATATGATTATATATTTAAGTATGATTTAACTATATAATATTATTATAGCTATATTTAATCATTTTTTTACAATGTGATTTGATTATTCTCTTTTTCAATAAATATTAATTTATATAAAAATAATGCTTATGAAATATTTTATATATGTTTAGTATTTGCTTAAACATCATAATTTAATCATAATATTTTAATTTTATTTTTTAGTATTTTATACTATAAATTGTCTTAAAAAAATTAAAAAATTTATATTTGCAGGAAAAATATAAATAAAGTAATTGAAAATTAAGAAAATTAATTTTTATACATAACAAAAAGTTATGTAAATATTTATAAAAAATAATTATAATATATAAAACATTACATTGAAAATTGATTATTATTTAAAAAAAAATGGAAAATAAATGTGAAGACAATAAAATATCTAAATCAAATCCTTGGCCATATATGAATATTGGTTCATTAACCATATCATTTTTAACTAAATTGGCAACTGCTGGTATTATTTGGAGTTGGGGATATTTAAATTTGAACATAGCATGGTTGATTGGACCAATTGCTTTGATAGCATGGAAAACAGAGCGTAGAAAAGACAACGAATTAAAATTAATTACTGCCCAAGCTAGTGTTATGGCTAAAGAAAAAGAATTGATAATGAGCAGATTAGATGAATTACCTTCTTGGGTTTATTTTCCTGATTTTGATAGAGCTGAATGGTTAAATAAAGTATGAGAAATCTTTTTACATTATTTGAATATTCCATATATATCAGCTTTTTATTTTACATTAGTTATAATTAATTTTCTTTATATTCAAAGGTTTTATATAAAGTTTGGCCAAACATTAATCAGTTTGCTCGTGAACTTTGCAAGCAAAGTATAGAACCTGCTATATTAGAAAAATTAGCAGAATTTAAGATAAAAGGATTTCAATTTGAAAGATTGGTTTTGGGTCGTATTGTAAGTGAATTTTTATATTGTATAGTTATCTTTATTTCAATCAATCAATGACAATAGTATGATTAATTTTCATATATAATTATAGCCTTTAAAAATTTATGGTATTAAAGCATATGATAAAAACACTTCAAGAAATGAAGTCATTATGGATACAGATATTATGTATGTAAATCATTGTATAAATTTTATTATATTCTATTATATATAATTCTATTATATTATTTTATATGATTTATATATTTTTAAATATATCCTACAGGTATGCTGGTGACTGTGATATTACCTTTTCAGTTGGAAATATAAAAGGTGGTATTAGGGATTTTCAGGTAAGAATCTTCAAATAAGTTTTTTAATTTTTATTTAATATGCATACAATTAATTTTCAGATTCGTGGAATGATGAGAATAGTTATGAAACCATTATTACCTGTAATGCCTATAGTTGGAGGTGTTCAAGCATTCTTTTTAAATCCACCAGCTATTAATTTTAATTTGATTGGAGTTGCAGATGTTCTTGATTTGCCTGGATTTAAGTACGAAAAAATAAATGTTAAATAAATTTATTTTTTATTTTTCAGAAAATATAATTAATTAAATATTTTTTTAATATAGTGAAATTTTAAGAAAAACAATAGTAGAACAAATAGCAGCTTTTGTAGTACTGCCAAACAAAATTGTTATACCATTAAGTGAAACAGTACCAATTGAATCATTAAAAATACCAGAACCTGAAGTAAATTTTATATTTATAATATTTTATATAATATAATTATATCAATGCAAAATTTAACATTATTATATTTATTTTTGAGGGTGTTTTAAGGATTCATGTAGTAGAAGCAAAACATCTTATGAAAAAGGACATAGGGATGTTGGGTAAAGGTAAATCTGACCCATATGCCATTATAAATATTGGAGCACAAGAATTTAGGACAAAAACTATAGATAATACTGTGAATCCAAAATGGGATTTCTGGTGTGAGGTATGTATATTTTTTTTTTATAAGAAGTTAAATATTGATAATATCTAATGCATGTGCTTTGCTACAATTTTTTCTTGTAAGTCTTTTGAAATTTCAAGCACAGCATCTTTTATGTGGTAAGAAATATTATTTAAATATATAAAAGCACATGATTTAATGAATATTTGAAAATTTGCATCAAAAAAAAAAAAAGAAAAAAAAAAAGAACAATAAAACATTTAGAAATTTATTTATATTCATTATCATTTTATTTATTTTTTTTACATGTTTATAACTTTGTCTTAGTTATAAGATGTTGCTGATCTAACATTTTAATGCTTTTTCCTAGTAAATCAATGAATAATGTATCATTGTCCATTTATATAAATTATTGTTTTGCTTAAAACTACATGTAAAATGACTACTTTATAGATAGATCGGAAGCATCTTAAATCATAAATCAGTCTAATTTCATATTTTGGTATGTATGTATGTATGTGATGTGCAATGTGTTATGTGGAACTAGTGTGCCGTGACGTCAGCCATCGCTCAACAAATTACTATACTACTATGGGACTATGATGACACCAAAGGAGATGAAAGTCTTGGAAGGTATGAAAATAAAATAATATACATATTTTTTTAATTTTATTTTCAAGGTAAGATATTAAAAATTAATAATTTTTTTAAACTTTTTTTTTTTAATTATAATTGAAAATAATTACAATTTATTTTATCATTCAATTTCAATTTAACTATCATTTTTCATGTTTTAAATATATATTTTAATGAATTATTTATGTATATCGCATGTTAAAAATATTATTGTTAGTCATGCAAAGTTGGGAGCATGTTGATGTTGCAATATTGTATAGTATTTGTAATTTCTGGTTTATGAATGGTTTTTGGTGTGTATGTGTTATTTTACAATGATAATAATCATATGCTGCAATGCTTTCGCAATATAAATATTATAATATGCAATAATAAATTTAAAATAAATTTTTTACCATTAGAATAAAATTAAATTTTTTTAATAACATTAATTATTTTTTATTTTATTTTAATTTAATTATATTACTTATTGTTTAAAATATTCATTTTAATTATATTCATAATCACTTTACATGACATATATATATATATGATATTATTATTTATTTAAAGTAATAATATATTTATATTTATAAACAAAAGATTTATAAAAACTTCTGTCTTTTATATATTATTTTCATAATATTATCATATTGACACAGGCTGTGATCTACTCATGCATAATGCAGAATATTATGGTGTTTCTTTGGGATAGGGATGTATTAACCATCCCTTATGATGACTTCCTTGGCAGGTAGTAGATTTATTAATAGTATAATATTTAATAGTATAACAAAAATTGAAAATTTCAATTAACAGAAATTGTCTTAATATTTAAATTTTACCTGCCATTAATATATAATTTTTTATTTAATAATTTATAAATTTATTCAATTTTATAATTATGCTATAATTGACTTATAATATGTGCCATATATATGTATTTGTTGTTATGCTTATTTTTATAAAGTATTTTAATTATATAATAATATTTGTGATTTGTATTAATCAAAATATTTTTTTACTATAATTATTAAAAATCATTCTATTTAATTGTTATATCATTATATTATTTATTTTTCATTTTATATTTGGTAGTATGATATGAATTATTTTCTTGATTTATTGATTATTATATGATAGTATTTTTTCATTATACTTTT